AGGAGAGGTTTAGGAATTTAGATCAAATATTTTTCAGGGTTTAATTCTATTTGGCTTTTAGTCAAAGTGACGTTCAATGGACATGGTCGGTAGTGAGGGGTTCATGTTTGTGTGTGTCCAGAGAAGAGATAAAGTTTTATAATTATTTAAAGGCTTTGAGAGATAGAAGAGAGGAGAGCGGGGTGAATGGCGGTTATTCAAGCTGCTTTTGCACCTGGCAAAAGTTTATTTAGGGTTTTTTCTTTTCAGGGTTTTTGGCACCTGTCGTGATTTGGCACTTTATGTTGTTAATATAAATGCACTGAACTGACATGAAAGGGTATGGCTAAGAATTTTAGTGTTCCTGCGTTTTGTGATAGTTTGAATTTGTATTTTTATATAAAAACTCGTGATTGGAATAACAAGCTTAGGTCCTCAATATGGCAAAAAAGTTTTATCAGTAGTTTATAAATATGACTGAAGATATTATAAATGTCCATCTAATTTTTCTAGTTTCTGCCTTGACCCACACAAAAAGTTTTCCTATTTAAAAAATTAGAAAGTGTTGTATATCAATAAACAAAAATTATAAATTAAAGTATTTAAAGTCTGATTTTATCAAAGTATAAAGAAAATGATATATAAGAAATGTAAATTAATTGTTTAAAGATTTTGAAAAACACCTTGTTTCATTTCTAGACTAAATTTCTCTAAGCGTACTTTTGCGTGTGCCCCATTGTGTGAGTGAGTGCCTTGTTTGTGCATCTCCTGTATTGCATTTTGGATTGCGGAGCGTGTCCTGCCTGGACCCCGTCCAAAATCCATTTTGCTGCCCCATAACCCCTGCCCCAAGGCTTTGGCCAACAAAGGCGCCACGTCAGTCCCCGGATGGTGTCTTGGTTACACGAAATCCGCCAGTCACTTCAGAGCAGTTTGTGTGGCAGCCTCACAACGCGTACCTCATGTCCCCGATCTCCGATTCCCATTACTGCCCCTGAATTCCCCCGAGCTAGGGGCGTGGCAACGTCAGCATCTGCCCAAAAATCATCTGCTAGGAAAGCGGCTAACGCATTTCAGTCAAGTGCAAATGTGTGGCCAAGCGACAGCGATGCATTTACATACTCCCATTAAAGGAAGTTAGGTAAAATAGGATGCAGGACCCCAAAAAATATCCTAACTTTAAATATTATATTTTCGTTAGGAAAAGGAGGTTTCGGTATACTAAAAATATTCTAAAATTTAAATGTTATTCAGTCCAAAGATCATAAAAATTATAGTATATATTAAAAGTAGTACGCGAAATATGTTTAAAAAATACTCAACAAAAATTAAATTTAAATAGTTTTAATTAATCCTGTTCCCAATTTAATCTTTGTTATCTGTCATTAACATTTTGTATTTTATAAAAAATGTAACCATTATGATGAAATATAAAAAGGGTAGGTTTTTTTTATAATTAAACTTTATAAACTTTTTCATTTCCATACTGTCTTGTTTAAATCAAAGTAGATCACGAAACTGTCAAACTCTTCGCCGTTGGGTATAAGGAAAAGCATTTAAAATGTTTATTTTTCCCAGAAATTCGCTTTTGCCTGCGCTTTTCATACTTTTCCATTTCGCATTTGCATGGGACCCATTTCAGTTTCATTTTCGTGCAATTTTATTGTTCTTGGCTGAAGGTTGTTGGCACTGGAGCAGTGGCAGCGGTGGAAACAATAAGCAGAACTTGCACTTTCATGCAGCACACTGACACTGACACACTTCCTTGGCCCTACGACCTGCCACGCCCCCTTGGGATCCTTTGGAAGCCATATTAACATTGTTGCCCTGGCAGTTTTCATTGCATATGCCGCGCCGCATGCATTTCGAATATGTTTGTATTATGCACTTTGCCAAGTCATCATACAAAGGTGGAATATTCCCATTTATTACCTGCCACACGGTAAAAAATATTAAAAAAAATTTTGACCTGATGTCAAAGGGTTTTTGTATCATCTCTTGGAAATGGTACTAAAAAAACCTGGATCATTGGAAATAAAATCCGATTAGTTATAATAAAAACAAAGTTTAAAGTTTTTAATATGAAATGTAATATTGTAAGCCCAATTTTGTATTTACAACGTATGATTTGGTTTGAAAAATGTCCAATTATATTCTTTATGTACCGAATAAAACCATAACGCACCCACAACCACCCATACGTTTACGCATTTTGGAAGGGTGGCGGTGGAAATATATTTATTACACATGTTGAACAATGTAAGCACAAGTTTTGCTGCTCATTTGGTCGATGGTCAACAAGCAAATGCCTTGTTAACCATTATGGGCCATGTTTTAATGTGGCAACACACAAACGACAACAACAAGAGCAAAAAACGACAATAACTTTTCGCATTAAATGAATGCCAAGTGGCATTGAGACAGCGAGGTAGAGGAAAAGCGACGGAAAGTTCGGGGAAAATATAGGGAAAAGCGAAAGAGCAGAAACAAAGGAAAGAAAAAGTTCGCCTTTTTTCAACTTTCAACGCGGAAATTAATAACAAATTGCTTTAAGCCACCATGACGATTACGTCCTGCCGCTACTTTCTTTTAACAGTGATGGTAATATTGAATTTATTCTAAAATACTTTTTTTCTGACTTCTAAAATATTTAAAATTTTTATAAAATATATAATCCGTTTTTTGCAAGTTCGAGTTTTAAAAAAAAAAATTTTAAATATAAAATGTTATACATTTCCTATACTTTAAACTATTTAAACTAAACACTTCCATTTCAAAAGTTAATGAAAAAAATATATATTTAATGCCATAACGTTTTGATAAAACTTTGTAGAAAAAAGTACATAAAATAAAGTAACTCGTAATAATTATTCATTTTGATTTAATATATATTTGGTTAAAAAATGACATCACTTTCGCTCGATTGTTGGACAAAAATCAATGTGTAAACATAAGTATATCCTTACATATATCCTGGTTTTTCCTGACAACGCCTTAAGTTCACCCTGGACGTCAAAAGAAAAGTTTTTGCAGCACAATAAACACTTCATTGCGCACTTGAGTTAATTTGTCAAGAATGCCGACTGCATACGTATGTTAAAATTATTGAAAAAGTTTCGAGTGGCAAATGGCAGCGAAAGATGATGTTGGTCCTGATGGGTTTTCATTAAGCACTTGGGCTAGGAATGGGAGTTTTCTTTCTTCCCGGACTGCTACTGCTTCTGGACCATGGCAATTGTTGTAGAACATGAATAATGTATGCTGTAAAAGTTTAATGAAAATGCACCAAAAAGGAAACGCCGCAGATTCGCCACCAATGGAAACAAACAAACTGCTAGACACACACAAATTAGCAAATAAAAAAGGAAAAAAAAATAATTAGGGCTAGCTGCCAAGCAACCAAGTCAATTAACTTCTTCCTCCATTCTATTTTTTTTTTCGGATTTTATAAATTTTGTGAATTTAATAAAGTTAATTTAAAATCTTAAATAAATAATAATAATAATAACAAACATATTTATATTATGTTTTATTTTCTAATCCTAAAAAAAAGCCTACAAATTTTATACATAAAAAAAATTGTAGTATTTTCTTATGATCATTTTAAAAAGTATTGGAATTATAAAATGTAAGTTTTTTTTAATTTAAGCATTGCCCATATATTTTTTTTGATTTAAGGCAAAAGGTTTTCTTAAAGTATTTATTTATAGCATTGTCTATATAATGTTTAAAGTATAATGATTAAAGTATTAACAACTTATTAAAAATGATTTTAAATCTGTATGCTCAGGTTTTGTGTTCCTCATATTTTACTTACTTATTTAATACTTAAAAATACGTTTGTATTGCTTTCAACTATTCGCTAATAACCATAAAATAAATTTCTGGAAAATGGGGAAAAGCTCGCAGCTGCGAAGCAATGGAAGCATTCCAGACTCCTGGGTGTCCTGCTTTTGTTTTTGCGCTCCGTTCTAGATGAGCTCCACTCTCGTCGCCATTGTCCTTCGTCCTTTGTGCTTTCTCCTTTCTCCTGGCTCCTGCTGTTGGTGCTGCTGTTCAATAAACTGTAATTCGTGCACCACTTCCAAGTGCATTCATTTGTCGCACCACTCACACATACATAGACAAACACACACTATCACAGCAGCACCACTCCGTTGCACACACACACACACACTCACAAGGCTCCACATTGTGCTTGGCGTACATGGCGTATGAGTGACATTTAATTAAAATTTATGTAGTCTAAAAAGGCAAGAATTTTTCTACACCCCGCCCGTTCAAATTTATGCAACGCCCCATTTTGTTTGAGTTGTATTAAATGTTCGCAGTTTTGCCGACCGGGTTTTTTGGTAATCATGTGCAAATTTGTTTTTACACCCATTACATAGTGCAGGTCGACGCCGACACTCTGCTCCCTGACAATTACGTCTGGGGAATACGTATACGTAATCAAATATTTAAATGGAAAATTGCACTTTTTCCGGCCAAATAAGATAAGATGTGAAAGTGAGGGGCATTTGCCTTTCTCTGCCCGGCTTTTACAAATGACTGAAGTTTAATTTAAGATTCGGCTTAGTTTAGACACTATCTTTTGGTAGATATCTTAGATATTCTTCATTGTAATGGCTGGGGTCGTTTATTTTAAATGGAAACGATTATATTTATGGTTGCTAAGAGTGCTCTTTAAGTTGGTATGTGTTTATTGAAATGATAAATGTTATACTTAAATTAATAAACGCAAAGTGTAATAAAAATATTTGCATCCTAGCTTTTGGTAATGATTCAAGAACGTTCAGTCGATAGAAATATAAAATGGTATAAAAGTTTCGAAATAAAATGAAAAAATTATAAATTAAACATTAGAAAAAATGGTATACCAATAAAATATTTCTTAAATCCGTTACTTTCATTAAAAGTAATATTTTCCCATTTCATGCTTTCTTTAGATTTTAAAAGTTTTTTATTAGTCTTAATTTAAATGTATAATATTTTTTATATAACAATCACTTTTGCTGTCCTTATAATAACTAAATATATATTTTCCATCACTTCATCTCCTTGGCTTGCTGCTTCTTTCTGTTTATCATCCATTGATGGATCTGCATGCGTCGATAGTAGAGATGTCTCTGCAGATTCTTCTTGAAGAGCGTCTCCCTTGCCAAAATCTCCAGATCCTCAAAGCTGCACTGCCGGATATTCTGTTTAGTTCGGGCGATTAGTTCGCTGGTCAGGTGAATTTTGGTCGCGGAAGCCCGTGTCACATGAATTTTTCTCCTTCTCAACTCTTCGCGGTGCATAAACATAGCATATGCGGCGGTGGGTGACTTTGGTGGTGAATCCCCCGAATTCAGGGAAGGATTCCCTTTGGTGCTCTCCTTGACTTCCTCGTTCTGCTGGATGAGACACATCTTCACTGTCTGATTGCTTGACTGCGTTTGCTGGTTACGTCAGTACTGCTCGTTTATTTTATACGCAAGCCTTTTTTTGACCTGCCCATTCATGAGACCCATTCTCGCAGGTCAATCGGTTTCCCAGGCCAAAAACTGACCTGAATGCTGTTTTTTTGTCAGTAATTTTTTTACAGCTCACGGCTGGCAGTGGATTAAAAAAATGTAATCCCATTCATTACCTAAAAAGTGTCGTAAAGTTCTCGGGAATAGCGAAAAAAAATACTCCTTCGCCACCACTTCTGTTCGCTAATCCGGATATATCACCGGATTAAGTTGAACTAAACAGTTTATGGGTCGGCAGACCGTCGGTCTTGCTGTCTCATGTTCTTTCTTGTCCTGGTTTTTGCGGTCTCATCGAATGTTCTTCCGTACACTTTACGTTCAGCTAATCCTTTTGGCCAGCGTGTCCTGGCAATTAGCGTCATAATGAAGGGACAGCTGAGGTCCACAGTCTTTATTTGCGGGAAATTCACATTGAAAGGGGAGGAAAACATTTGCCCGGGGCATTTTGAAGAGGACTGTATAGCTCTTGGCCAGGCCAGATGACCAGCTGACCCAATTTGTAAACATTCAAGCCAAATATTTGACTTTGATCGCCAGCCACAGCCGCAACTTCTTCATTATTCGTCAGGCAAACAGTGGAACTTAATAGATGGAACATAGAGATAATAGAAAGACGAGAGATATCTATAAGTTCTAATTTTCTCTAAAATCTTCAACATGTTTCCAAAAGCATTTTGGATAAACATTAAATAAACATTAAAAATGAAATGTAACTATGTTACTTGTCGCTTTTTAAAAATACTTTAACAATATATTATCTATTCAAACATATTTTTTACTCCGAAACTTTGTCAATTGGTTTTCCCAAGGACCTCAGCTATCAAATTTAAATAATCGCATCTGATTTATTCTACTGTTCCCCGGTCATGTTGTTTTTTCATAAATATATGCTTCGGGCCAAAAGGGCGATATAAACTCATTACATTGGCTTCACTGCTGTTGATGTTGTTGCCACTTTTGATGGGGCTGGTATTGCTTATTCCAGCGCATTCTCCATCCAAAATACTTAACGTTCGTTTTTGGGTTTCATTCACCGAAAAAAGGGTTTTCTGGCCAGCCCAAACTCCGTTGCTATGTGCGAAAATCACAACATTTTAATCTCATAATCTGAATTTATGTGCAGACTCAATTTCGTTATACTTAACGACATTTTATGCGGTTATTTTATGCAGGCAGGAGCCGAAACTGAAGGAGCTCAAGGAAATCCCAGCGCCAGACTAGCTATATAAGCTCCCTTTTTCCACACATACACCCTTGCGGTTCCGTTGGCACCCTTTAAATTGAGTGTAGGTGGAGGAAGTGCACTCAGAAAAATATTGGGTAATATTGTAATCAAGTTCTAAGGTATTTCAATAAATTAAAGTATGGAATTACTTCAATTAAAGGCGTTAAATAATGTTTTAGGATTGAAAACCACTTCTAATTTTGATCTTTTGAAATCATTAATGATTAAAAGTAGGCAGTAAAAATTGGTTTATATGTTTATAGTATTATATAAGTATAACTAGTGAGCGAAAATAGGAACCACGTCCGTTAATATGGCACCGTTATATTTGATTAGATACAAATGTATCTTTTACTTCTACCGAAAATTAGTTATTATTAGTTTTTAGTTATGTAAAAAGAAGACAAAAATAAGTTATGTAAACATCCTGAATTAGAAATCCGATTTTCCAGTGACCCATATTTTTCTTGCAGTGCACACGTTAAGTACATCAAATATGTGAGCGAGCCAGTGCATGTGTGTCTGTGCTTCTATGAGTACTTGAGATTTTCTATGGTCGCACAAAACACATTAGTTAAAAGTACTGACCAACAAAGCCACTAACAAGCAGTTGGTAACAGTCTATCCCCCCTTTCCCTTGAAAGTTCCCCTTTTTTCCTAATACACACTTTATCCCTCACATTTACCCCGCTTTTCCCCCACATATTGAAGTGCCATTATGTGAGCTTTACTTTTTCCATCTTCTCCGACTTCATCGCTCCTTGTTGTTGTATCAATCTCGATGATGCTGCTTTCTCTTTTTTGTTGTCGTCAGCATTTTGCTGCTAGAAAGTTTTTTAATAAACGCATTTAAATGAATTGATGTATGGGCGAGTTATTCTGCGTAATTTCTCATCATTTAATATGAAACAAGTTAAAGTTGTGTTCTCATTTCCTGGCCAAAGAACTTTTATTACCTTCGTATATCACACAGTAAAGAATGGAATTTACAAAAAAACAAGAAAAATAGGAGGGGAATTGCAAAAAGGGAAAGAATGAAAGTTGTGCAATTCTTAAAACTTAATGGAGGCAACTTTTGCGATCCAGCAAAAGCAATTTCGTGCTTAACTTTAAAGTTATCATTTAAGTTTATGAGTTTAAAAGGGGTTTGTGTTAAGTGGACACTTCGTTTTGCAAAACTAGAATATTTTTAATTACACAAAAATACTTTTCTTATAAAAATAAAGCTCTAAATATCAAAAGTTGCAATGCTAAGCTAACTGAGTTTTAAAATGGAATGGATAAAGAATATTTCTACCTTATTCTAAAAATTATTTTCGGTTTTCTAACGAATGAAACCATTTTGACTTTGTCTTTAAACCAAAATCTTAACTTTCTAGTCATATTTGATCAAGTTGTTGCCACAATTCGTTTGGTTAAATTTGAGGCAAAAAGTTTCTTGCATTTTATTTTTTGAGGAATATTCATGTCGATGGGCAGACAGTTTTCTTTATGCACAACAATCCAAGGACTTGCCTCTTTTCAATTTATATTATTTGTTCTGTCTTTGTCTGTGTCGCACTTTTGACTTGCTTTTATTTATACAAATTGCTTTTGTTTTTTTTGGCTCTGGTCGTGCTGCCTTTGGTGCTTTGTTTGTTTTAGCCCAGTTGTTGTCTTGCCATCAATTCGCCTAAATATTTATGCTTTTATACATCTTTTCTGGGACAATTTTTGCATTCGTCTCGTTTTGGTTTTTGTGACAGTATTTCCTTGTTTTTTTTTTAACCTTAGTTTCTGGTGGTGGTGGCCCGTCGATTGACGCCATGGTATCCGTTTTGTTTGCCACCCGTTTTGCGATTGCCATTGCTGTTGCCACTGCCGCTGCTGCTGTTGGCCAAATCCACATCCGTTTCGGCCACGATTGGCGGACCCCAAGAAACTTGTCGCCGCACTGTTGCAGGTCCAACTCCAGACCCCGTTCCCGGTCCTCCGGATCCACCGTTTCCTGCCCCCGATCCTGGTTTTCTCCTCTTGGAACTAAAACTCTGCTGCTGGAGTGAGGAGGCTCCTCTTTGAGACAGTTGTCGTTGCGGCAGCTGCTTTTGCATTTCATGTTGCTGCTGCTGTCAAAGTGCACAAATTGTTTCGTATTGCTTTTTATTAAAAACTTTTTCGGGCGTAATAATAATTTTCATGCAACTCTGCGTTTTGGAAGGAATGTTTTTCTTTTCAAAAAGATTTTCTTTGATTAGTTTTGTTCTTTCCATTCGGTGACATTCTATCATGCTGGTTTTTTTTTGGTTTTTTTGTAATTATCATGCGCGAAACGAAAGCTCACTTGTTAGTAATACGATTTGCATATTTGATGTTAGATGCATGCAATTGAAAATCAACAATTTTTCGTCGTCTCTCTTCGGAGAAGGTATGGAGAAATATTTCCCAGAATCAAGGACCCATTCAAGTGTGAAATTTGAGTCGCAGCCCCAAAAGCTAAACTCATTGTGTTGTACTCCTATTGTTCATTTTAGAAGTCATTGTTTTGTTATATGCTTGAAAAGCTGAGTGAAAACACGAGGAGCTAATTAAAATGCCTCTTACTTAATAAGTTAATAAAATATTAAACGCTTGGAAATTACATCCAAAATTGTAGGGAATATTTTGTGTGGATTTATGTACCTTAAATATGGAAATACATTTTTAATGATTAACAGTAGGTTTTATTTTAATTTTTAAATTAAAAGGAAAAAACTTGTAAGCTTAATTGGGTTATTAATGTGCAAAAATCTCTTAACCAATCTAAAGTATTTTTACTTAAAATTTTAAAATTTTTCCCCTTTAAAATATAAATTAATCCTAAATAAATCATTTCAAATGTATTTCCTCTTTTGAGGTAAGTCGAAATTATTTATCTAAACACCGCAAACTATCTTTAATCAGCGCCTCCCTCCAATTTATTTATTAAATTGCGGCATGCGTTTTAAATTACACATCATTAGTTCGGTTCGACTTCTTTGCCTTCATTAAGATTTATATAAAACTTGAGCAAACAACACAAAATCTGTGTGTATGGCCTCTGCATGTGGGTGCAGAGTGGGTTGGTTTTTTCGGTGGGTTTTCGGAGGACTTTGTTGCTGCCACTGGTACTGCAATTTTGTGTGGGCTTGGGTTTCGTTTTTGCATTCTAAGCTCGTAATGAGTTTCACCGCAGCATTGTGGTAGCTGGCAAAGTTAAGTGCGTGCTGCGTTTGCGGCAGGCCAAAATGAACAGAGGCAGACGACTGGGGTGAAAATGCTGGGAAAAGCTGGGAAATGCGAGCAAGAAACAAGGCAGAAGCAAAAGCAGAAGCACCACCAGCAAGATGAAAGAAAACTGCCAAGACGCCCACAAACATTTTTGAATAAAAAGAAACTTGGCATGCATGACGGGAGCAACCTCAGTAAGAACGGCGGCAGAGCTTCGGCAGCACATCCACCAGCTGATGCACTTGCACTTTTTGGTGCTGCTCAAGCAAAAGATGCAGCTTCGAACTGCGACTTTCACTACAGTAAACCAGGGTAAGCACATACTTACAGATTCAACAAACTACAGTAACTTAAAAAATAATGTTTAAAGGTGCAAACTTTCTAAGCATTTGAAATGGTTAACAAATTAAATTAGAATTATTAATTAAATAATTAAATTAATTTTCTAAGCATTTGAAATGGTTAAAAAATTAAATTTAAATTATTTAATTATAATTTAACCAAAAAATATTGCATTAATAATAAATATGTATATCTAATAGCTTTTAGAGACCCATAATTAAAAATATTTCAATTAAAAGTACACATTTTTTAATCAGATCTAAAATGTACAATTAAAATTAAGTGACCGCCATTAATAACAGGAATTAGAGTAAATTGATTTAATTATAGAATTTAAGTATACTAATTGGTGGTAAATAAATTATAAAAATTCTACGGGATACAAAGAACGCACCATTAAATGAACATTTAAAAAAGTTATAATTAATCTAATTAACTTTCTGATATCAAAGTTATCTCTACAGAAAATCCTTTGAGAAAGGGACTCCCTAGTGATAAAGCACTGTATTAACCCCTCTCAAAGGACCAGCCAGCATAGCAATCCTCTCACTCCTTTTGGCAAGCGAAACTTTTTGATTTTGAGGCAGGAAAAAAGTTTTGAGTGCGCTTCAATTTCGGTTGCTTTGCAATCAGGATCGCGTAGACGCCGCAAGTCAAGTGGAAATGTGGAAAATGGAAAGCGGCGGGAAAATGTGGGCCAACTTGGGTGTTGGGTAGACAATGCTGCACGCACTTTGCTCTTTGCACAACTTTCACCATTTTTCGGGTGTCAACGAAAAACGCCATGGGAAAAAAAAATCTGTAGGAAAATTCATCCTCAGATTTGAATGTGCAGCGATTGGCCGCCGAGAAAATGCCGGGAAAAATTCAATTTGGCTGCAGCTTAAGCTCAGACAAAGTACATGCTAAGTAAGCTCAAAAGTAACATGCGACCCCCACGATAGACACTTTTCCAGCTAAAGCTACACCAAAGCCAATAAGTTCAATATTTCGCTTTTCCAATTTCCCCTTCTAACAGAAGAAACCTCTAGGAAAAGGGAGTTCGAACTTCGTTCGAAAGTTTGTTTTTGGGCGTGCCGAAAAGTCGATGCAGAAGTTGAAAGTTCTTGCCGCGTTTGTTGCTTAGCTGAAGGTTTTGTCTTAAGTTTTCTGGTCACCGCCATGCATATACAATCTATATAAATCATGGACAGGCGCTTGATAAGCAAGAAGAGCGCTCGACTTTCCCATCATGGTTCCATAAATTGTGGCCTGCAACAATTGTTATTCTTGGTCGAAAGTTCATAGCTAAAAAGCAAGTTTTTCCTTGCCGGGACTTCCCGGACTTTCCTCAAACGCATATTCATTTGGCAAATGTCCTCTAACAAAAGGATCAGGAGGCAATCGGAACCCCTCTCCGTCCCCAAAATGCAGTTCAATTTATTTTTTGTGCCGAGGCATTTTAACTTTTGTGCTTTGCAGAGCACTTTTTTCTATTAAATAACATTTTAGACAATTGGCTTGGCTGCAA